CTCAAGGGCAACATCGGCCTCGACACGCTCACCTTCCCCGAGGGGACGCCGGGGATGGCCATCGACGCCTTTGCGCGGCAGGCGCTCTGGCAGGCGGGGCTCGACTACCTGCACGGCACGGGGCACGGCGTGGGGGCGGCGCTGAACGTGCACGAGGGGCCGCACTCGATCTCGGCGCGGTGGGGCAACACGTGCGGCCTCGAGGAGGGGATGATCTGCTCCAACGAGCCGGGCTACTACGAGGCGGGCGCCTTTGGCATCCGGATCGAGAACCTGCTGGTGGCGCGCGCCGCGCCGACGCCGAACGCCTTCAACGGCAAGGCGTACCTCCGCTTCGACCAGCTGACACACGTGCCCATCCAGGCGTCGCTCCTCGAGCCGTCCCTCCTCACCAGCGCAGAGGTGGAGTGGCTCGACGCGTACCACGCCCGCGTCTGGGAGCGTGTCTCGCCCCGCGTGGACGCCGACTCGGAGGGCGCCCGCTGGCTGCGCCGAGTCACGCGCCCGCTCGCCGAGCAAGGGGTGCGGGGCTTGCCGCCCTCTAGGACGGCCGCAGTGGCAGAGGCCGCCGCTGCGTTATAGAGGCGCCGCTGTGCTGAGAGTGAGCACGGTCGCAGTGTGCAATGCAATTTTGTGGCACAAGAGTCTGCAGCTAGGTCTGGTCTTCGGAGACGAGCGGTGAGCCATCAAAACGATTGGGTGCACAGTTTTTGTCTTCACAGCCTTGTTATGAGAAGAAAATACGTCCTATGGCGCTATGCGCTGGTCTGTGAGAGGTTGAGGTGCGAGCCCTGGAGGCCCAGGGGGGTTTGTGGGAGACTTCACAGAGCACTTGGAGTCACACCTTTTAGGCACCGACAATGACAGGGGCACGCCCCCCGGGCCAAATTCTAGCCCACAGTCCACAATGAAGGTCTCTCTCTCGTTCTCGCTGCTCGTTCTCGTGCTCCTCACGCTCGCAACGCCGGCCAGCACGTTGCGCCTGGGAAACTCGCGCCGCGCCGCGCCTTTAGCACCTCGCGCTGCGCGCTCGCTCGTCATGAACGAGCCCGCCGTTGCCGAGGCAGAACCTGAGTCGGTGGAAGAGCCAGCCGTTGCTGGACCCGGTGGCATGAGCGCCGCCGCAGCAGCGGCCAACCCAGAACTGGCTTCCAAGGCGATGGCGATGGCGGAGACCATCGCCGCACTGCAGGCGAAGCTGGACGGCTTTCCGCAGCAAGCGGGCACCATGTACTGTGCGGCCGCTTAGTCGCACCTCCGCCATGTCGCACCGAGCACCCGACGGCGTCCGCCCGCTCGCCCCCCGGCAGTCATTACGAAGGACGACCTCACCACCGCCGAGAAGCAGCTGGCGGGTATTGTCGCCACCGCACTGACCGCCGAGGAGCGCGAGGCGGCAGCGGCAGAGAAGAAGGCAGTGGTTGCTGCCAAAAAGGCTGAGGCCGACGCTGCTGCGGCCAAGCGCAAGGCGGATGCGGCGGCGGCGGCAGAGGCAAAGCGGGTCAAGGCGGAGGCGGCCAAGGCGGCCAAGGCGGAGGCGGAAGCGGCAAAAAAGGCCGCGGCGGACGAGAAGAAGGCCGAGGCCGCATCCGGCTCTCCCTGCGTCTGTCCGCGTTTGGCATGTCCTGATTCTTGCGTAGGCGACCAAGGCCGCGGCCGCGCCTCAGAAGGCGGCAAAGTTTGAGCTTCCCAACCCCTTTGGGAAGAAGTGAAGGTGTACTGACCCTAGCCCGCCCCATGCACTCCGCTCCTCGCCTCACGTCTCACGAGACCGACTCCCATCCCCCCACCCTCGCTCCGTCACTCTAGACACGCTCCACGTCGGCATGCTGAAGAGCGCGGGCTTCTCGCAGTTCCAAAATGTTCGAGACCGGAACGGAACCCGCC